CCCTCAGCCAGGGTCAACCCACCACAAACATCCACACACCCCACTTTGGTTTTCACTGGAGTTTGTTGGGTTTTTTAATAAAATCTAAATAACCAATAGTTTTATTTCCAGATTTTGCTTAAAGACATCTTTAGTCTTTCAGGGATCAACCTTTTCCTAAAAGGATAACAATTTTTGATATACAAATAAATCAGTTTCATATAATTTTATATTATAAGAACAGAACTCCAGCATTATTAGTCTCAAGAATAATATTTCCTTGCTCCCAGCTTACTTCAAAAACATACCTGCTATCCATCTCAACACACATGGTCCAATCAGCCAGTGTTGGTTCTTGCCCACTCTGCTTCCATGTGTACAAGCTAATCTTCCCATTCTCCAAGCCTACTGCAACAATGTATCTGTTAAGAGAATAACTGCATTAGTTCTGAAGAGATTACAGTAGGCAGCTCAGTGAAGGTGGCTCTAATGCAAGCTAGAAAACTCAAACACTGTGTTGCTCCTTGCCCTTCATATCAAGACTTGCTTTTCCATGGAAAAAATAATAATAATAAAAAAATCACAATTTAATTCAAAGCTTCTGCATTAAAAAAAATTAAGAAAGCAAAAACCTGCAAAATATATTTGGTTGGGAAAAATATAAGCAGCTTATTACAGCATCGGACCAGTCAATATTCTTGGAAGAATTAATGTGTTTCAGGTCTGTTCATGCCCACCTCCCCTGCCCCCTCCCCCCTTTTTTTTTTTTTTTTTAACTTGTTACACTGGAGAAGTCACCATATACCTGAAAAGAAGGCTAGGAAAGAAAAAAAAGTAGAGTTCAATCAGCCAAAGAATGGTCAAAATATTTGACAGGTAGATTTTAGGAGCTGTTTCATAGAATCATAGAATGGTTTGGGCTTGAAGTGACCTTAAAGATCATCCAGTTCCAAACCCCCTGCCATGGCGGGGCGGGGGGAGAGGCGCAGAAAAATGACTTAGGGGGTAAAAATACTAATTTCAAATTAGACACAAAATGGCATTAGATAAAACAGCAATACCTTCCATCAGGAGTAAGCACACGGCTGATGCTAACAGCAGTAACAGAATCCCCAGCATCCAGTACTGTTGAACATGGCTTGATTGAATCCAGCATATTCCCTTCAGTAGTCACTGGTAAGTTGTACTGGCCCCAGATAATGACCTGTAAGAAAAAGAATCATCTAGGAATTTTTGCTTTAATCTTTTTGTAAATGCATTTACAAAAACATAAAGGAATAACTTAGTTAAAATACTTCCAGGGCACAGAACAAAGTCGATGACCCCGAAAAACAGTAAAAAATGTCTGTCTGCAAAGATTCAACTTTTTAGACAGTCTGTCTGATTTCATTGAAGATACTGACTATAAAACCAGATTCTGTTATGAAAGTTAAAGAAATACCATAAGAATTATGTGACATATGCTTGTCTTACTGTATGAAAAAAGAAGGGAAAAAGTCCAACTGGCAGACCAGAGTCTTGTACACAGATATTCAAGCACTTTATTTAGCATATGAAAGTCTCACTGATTTCTGTGGTAATACACACAATAAGCTTTTTGTGTATTTATAGAAAACGGGCTCATTAGAGCACAACATTTACTAATCTAAAATACATTTAAAATAATTCTGGGCTTTTAAAATTCCTTTTATATTAATTACCTTTTTGTCCCGACTGCCAGTAATAAAATACTTGCTATCTGGTGTCCAATCACAAGACCAAATGATTCGACTGTGAACAGCTGTATTTTTGTCTGTGTATGCACAGCAACTGAAAACTGGTCCTGGAATAAAACATACAGAGGAAACCCCTTGCTTCAACTACTCTACATATTAAAAGTAATTGTTACTCTTACTTACTCTATGTAAGAACTGCAGAAATACTCTGATATTATTCCACTCATCTTTAAAGCAACTGGGAATACTTTGCACCGCAAATATTTTTTTCCCCAACACCTACCACAATGATAATCAGCACCTGTTCAAGACCACATCAGTCAGCCCTTACAGCACTAAAACAGTAGGAACAGTTTGATCTTTCACACACATATCTGTTTCAGGAGAATTTAAGATGAAATATAAGACCTTCAGGTTCTTTCTATACGAGTTTTTCATAAGAACACTGACTTCAAAAGCTTTAGTCTGGTGCAACATTTACCATGTATACACGTATTCCCAATAACTTCACTATAGTTCCTATTTACCAGTAAAGCCCCCAGAGCTCAAATCTTAATGATCTAATCATAAAGATTAATCTGTCCCCCAAAGAGACAAGCTGCCATTTCAGTATGCATCCAAACAGGCAATAAATCTGATCAGCAGAATGATTTTCCTAAGTAGAAAAGGCTGTCATTTTGGAGCACAGATTTTAAGTAATCACTTCTTAGGATGACAATACCAGCAGTTTTGCTTTACACTGACAATGATGTTCTCTGTAGACCAAAAAAAAGTAAATGATGAACAGATGAAAAGAAGATTTCCTCTACTTCCAATGAGAATTCATATTCCTTGTCCACAGTAGTTACACAATGCTTCAGGAAAATATCCCACGCTTTAGAATAGAAGTCTGAATAGAACAGAAATCTCAAGCCAGGATACAATCAGACACTGCCTGAAGGGGCCAAAACTCACTGCCAAGTCTCTAGAAAAACTCTATAGAGCCCAGTAGTGTTTACGTGCTATTAAGCCAACAGTGCAATGATAAACGTTTTCAGCACAAGCATCTGTTCTAGGAACCCATTAAAGTGTTCAATAGCAATCTCCTCATGATTTTGCAAGGCTCAAAGTCTTAATGAGAAAGTCAACTGAATCTTTACTATCAGCTCTTTTTCCAGACAGAGCCAGTCCTAGTCAAATTAATCAATTGTGTAGGATTATCAGAAAGCCACACTGGAGAGATTAATCCTGTCAAGAGTCTCAAAGTGTCTGGCCCTGCAAACAGGGACAAGGCAGCTCTATGCAGGACACGGGTATAGCAATAAACCTTCCAGCCTAGCCTGCAAAGATCACAGAGATGAAGGCTTTCCTTGATAGAATACCAGTTTGATGTTTTGACATTACACTCCAGAATGTACACCTGATTTCAGTAAATCTGAAACGTACAATCACAAGCAGAAGGCAGGCAGACAAATAGCAGACTTCATTACATGCAAAGAAACAGTATTTAAGGCTTGATTATATTCTTCTCCACATTTAATTCCCTTTCTAGCTTTCTAATGCACGATTAGTTGCGTTTCTTAAAGCCACAGGAGCCTACACCACCATTAATTCTTATATGTTGTAAATGTAATATTTTAATGGCCATTAAAATATTTTACCAATTCTCTTTCAATATTTTGAAACCAAAACCATCAAACCAACCGTGAAGTCTTCAAATGTGTATATCCACTTTACATAGATCACCTGGCTCTGATGAGTCTTGTTTCCTCCACAGGGACCAATTCCTGTCTCTAGAAACGGCTAATAAAAATTTGTCATTAGGAGAAAATGCCAGCTGAGTAACAGTCAGATTGTGAAATGACAAACTCTGCAGTATCTTCCAAGAAGTAGTGCTCCACAAAATAATTGCTGCATGTTCTTTTTTGGAAGCCTGTATTGATGGAAAAAAAAAAGTGAGAATTAATGAAAGCAAATATGAGAGTCACACATTTCAAAACAATAATAGGATGTTATGGGGTTTGTTTTAAGGCTTGCAATCAAGTTAGAATCAGCTTTCCTCTGGGAAGTTTCAAGATTGTTTCACTATTTTGTACTAATGCTGACAATATATATAAGTAAGAAAATGGTTTATACCTGTATTTGTTAGAATTTATCTTACTAATATCTTCAAACGAATCATATATAATTTATGAATAATAGCTTATCTGCATTCACTCTCACCTTTGCAGGGCAACTATGATCTATACAAAATCTTTCCCATTTAAGTGAAAGAAGAGAATTCAGCCCAAATTGAACTCTGACTCCTGCTCTGTCAGCCCTAGAAATCTGGTGGCATTTTTCACTAGATGGTGCTAGAATCTTTTCTTACCTTACATGCTGAGGCAATTATAGTGTTTGAATTATTGCAAGCAACACAAAAAATTTCATATCCATGTCCATATCTGAAATAAATGTGAAAAGATATTTAACACATGACAGTCATTATTGCAGTATGTATCAAGTTTCTTATGTTGATTTAAATCCCTTTGCAAAAATACAAGGTACCTGCCAGGAACTCCTGCCCACTGTTTCAGTATTATGTCTCAAATAATTCCTAATAATGTTCAGCATTCAATATAAACATCTGCATAAATTCTTTCACAGTTAGGAACTGACTACAGAATAATCTCTCCAGCCCATTCCATAGTCCTAAAGCATCAGCACTGCAGAAGCTACACTAATGATTAACAAAGCAGACTAAAGCAGCATTTCATGTTTTCTTATTTTCTTGTAAAGCTATTTTAACACTACCAATAAAAATCAGAAGCCACATATTTGAAGATCACCAAAGAAATACACCACAGACACCTAGCCAAAGGATGCCCGTTCTGGGAAATACTGAAAGAAGATTTCTGAACTAGCAGACAAGAATCATGTCAGAAAAGGAAATTAACACTGTAAAAAACAAAAACTTCTACCTCCCTCCAGAAACACATTTGTAATCAATCTTTGCATGAGTTCTGCTGGAATTCAAGCTCACATATCTGGACTGGGATTTAACTAATAAGCAGAGATGCCACACAGACTAACACAAAATCAGTCACAAAACAAATTGGAATTAAAATTGGAGATGCAGTCTATAAACAGTGGACAAATATCAGCTAAATACCAGTTGGGGGGGTGGTGTTCAATTGATTCCTAGCCCTGAAGAGATGAGCAGTTCTCTTAATAAACTCCTTTGGTCAGCAGTATCGCAATGAAGTTCTTACATGGGATTGATGTTCATGGGATTTCACTTGCAGCCAAAACAGCCATCTGTTTAAATGACAAATTACTGTCTGTGTCTGTTGAACAGAGTCCAGAAAAGTCGCTGCTGGGCATATCCCATAGACAGACTCCCACAGTCATGTCTGAAGACTGGGGATCCACTGCCTTTTCATGAAGAGGAACTGCACCTGGACCTTCAGGGGGGAGAGGGACCAGTGGCTGCGCTTAATTGGAATGTTAAATTGCAAGTTTGATTGTATCTTATAATGATGAAGGTATTACTGTGTGTCTTCCCCTTTCTCTGCCACCAGCACCAGTTTTATCATAATGCTTACTTTTAAAGCACTTTCCTGGAGACTATTTTGTAATGAAAGTCATTGAAAGTCAAGTTTCTAAAACTGAAAGCATTTATTCCATGAAAAGTCTAAATTTCCCAAAATTCAATGAAGGAAAAACAACCTGTGGAACAACTTGTGAAACAAGTCCTCAGTTATTTTGGTTTTATCCCCTAAATGTAGTATTAAAGAGCACTTGACAGAAACATTTTGAGCTTCTGCATGCAACTTTGTTCTTGCTAAACAGAAGCATTAAAATGTAACCCTTCTCTTTAACTTAAAATAAAACCTAAAATACCGTCTTTTGCAAAGTTACATAAGCAGGAGTATCATAGGTGAGACTGACAGCCTATATAGCCTAATAATGTCTCCAGTAAAGAGAATATAGTGGCAATAGGAGATGCTGTTTACAAGAGTGTATGAGCCTTGCAGGTATAGAAGCTCCATTACAACCCCTTCCCCCACAGACGCAATCTGATCCCTTCACTCTGTAGCACACCACCCAAAAAAAGGTTCACAATGGAGAGAAGCAACTGCATGAATGAATAATTAAATGACATTTCCAACCACAAGCGATTTTGCCTTAGCAATGTGTAATTCATAGCATTTTTTTTTACGCACAGGTAAACTGACTGGACTTTCAAAGTGTCCAGACAAATGATCACAGTAATTTTCTAGTGTCAAAAAGGATCTTTCAAGACTTCCAAGTGTATAACATGAAATGTACATACATATAAACATAAATATATGTGTCAACATTCAGGCTTTTAATCTCAGCCTGCTGCATATAAATTCTCTATGGTAATTTTCCAAGAGAGTAAAGATTAGCATACTCTCACAGGATTTGTCATATTTTTATTTTAAAGTTATTAGATTATGTAAAAAATTCAGCAAGTTCTTCATACTAAAACCTACTCAAGCAAACAGTTTTCCAAACCCAACACTAATCCTTCAAAACCTGGTGTCAAGTTAGAGCTGGGAATACACAAATGTCAATGACAAACAAGCTATTTTTAGCAAGTCAGTTCCTCACACCATTTTTCTGCTGCTATGGCAACTCGAAATCTACATTATGCGATTTCATGTTACTTCTTTCAAGATTATCCTGAGCAAAAAACTTGAAAGCCTATGAATGCTTTACATCTTGCTGCCCTTGCATGAAAGAATCCCTAGCATTAGCAGTGTCTCTGTCACAGAAAAAATTAAGTACATCATAAAATGCAGGTATTTTAATGAATGCAGAATATAAAATCAGATGGCAGTACTCCTGTAGCAGAATATCAACAATCAATGTTTCACTAGAATTTGAAAAATGTCAAAGGCAAATGAAGAAAAATTTTGGCCTTGGCTCCTTTTCACTACTTAAAAGATCCCTTATCGAACTACTTATGTGAGTGGTGCATTAGCGGCCACAGCACGCACAGGAGACGCGGTTAACATAACGGAAATTACGCAATGTGCAAAAATGGTCTAATATCCACCAGCTTCCCTCCTAGAAGCACTTTTGAGTACAAACACAGTAAGAGAGCTTAAAAGCGTTCAAAGAGATTAACTGCCCGGTTGAAGGTAAAGATGAGCTACCACAAAACCTCCCACTCAGTCAAATGAAAGTAACCTGCAAACTGTTTTCCCAAAGCTTTTTATCTGCACCCCCTCTCCCCCTGCCCCAAAGTCACAATACTGGCAATGTATAAAAGGTAGCTCTAATCATCAGCAAAGGCTCAACATTCTTGTTCCTGCCTGAGACCACTCTTTCAGGAGATCCAGATAAATAAACCCCTAAGAGCTTGAGATGATTAATTTATTTGTGCTATACTTTAAAGATTCATACTAAAACTTTGAAGATTTTGAAAGTGTAGCTTAATGTTACTGGGATCCTCAGGGAACAAATAAAATGACAACCTTCATTTTCAAATTGTGGTGAATCTCAAAAATGGAGGAACAAAACACAGCTGAAGAATTCTAAAACTCTACAACCTCAGAACAATTATTGTCATGACCACATAACTCTTATAATTTTTGCAATCTGCAACCCACTGTGTCAGCGTTCAATACCCAAACTGGGTTTGTAACCATCTCACTCAACATTCATCACTTTGCTCTACCACTAGACACATCCTTTTTCGGCTACTGCTTCCATCTATTCCATCTTACAACTCTGTCAGGCTTTACGGGAGAAACTCCTTTGATGCCTCAGCCTTTACTTCCATACCAGAAACTTGATTTGCAAGTCTGTGCCACGAAGTGGAAAGAAGCAGAGAACTCCTTATGCAGAGAGATGCTCAGTACAGGCAAGGTTTTAAGCAGATTTGCTGAGCAGACAGACACAAACAAAGGCTGCAGCATGGAAAGAGAGGCCCATCACATTCCAGAGCACAGATAAAACCATGAAAACATGCCACAGTTTCTTATAGCAGACCAGAAACCTTACTATTCTCTTGGAACAGAGAGGGGGAAAAAAAAAAAAACAAAAACCAGAGATAGGTGCCCTAAACAGACCTTCACAAAAGGCAAACATCCAAAGGGACAATGAAAGTCTGATCATTACAAATTCAAAAGAGCAGCTTTGTGCTAAAAAACATACATATTTTCCTGGTACAGAAACAATTAATGCAATAAAGTTTTGTGAGACAACTGCCATTTGCTGCATGGTTTCCTAGTTTTTATGCACATATAATTTATTTTACAAGCAATACACTGCACACAAAGTCAAATCAGATAATAAAATAGAAAGAGTTACCAAGACCAGACTACACGACTATGTTGCAATAGCTTTCTGGAAATTTTGTAAACTAAAAGAGAAAAATAAAACTTACAACTTCTGAATTTCAGGCCACAAGGTATTCTGCAGCAAGTGATCCTCTGGGGGAGGTTCTAAAAGACATTTGTACACCATATTCAAATTTGGTACTAAATTTAAAAATCAGCTAAATAATGCTTCAAGTTTATATCCAATGAACTTCATCCTCTATTTCCTACAACAGAAATGAATGTCATACCTGTAAGGATCAAGGGTTGAAAATAGATCTCAGGATACTGATTCGAAATGGTATTAAATGCTTCTTCATCCTCAGCTGGTTGAACAGACATATCTCCTATTCAAAGTAAGGACTTCATTAGCTAGAGAGAACATACTTGACAGGAGGGAAAATATGAGCAGTTAAAATCAAGTTAAAAACCATCTCTTTTTTTTCACAATATAAATAATTGAAATTAGGTTTCTCTGCTTCCAGAGTTACAATAATATTAATATTAGAATCTAGTTATTCTAAAGTACACAAGAACGAGGAGGAAAAGAGGAAAAAATCCAATAACCTAATCTTTGGACTAATTTCATTCTGAGACTGTCCTCTCTCCATCAGCACAGTCTCTTTTAAAGACTCTTAAAGAGACTTTGATTTACCTGAAAGAAGTAGTCACCAGGAGTTGAATCTGTGCTTCCCCAATGTTAAACCTTTCCTTCTGTACCTCTGCAGGGTAAGCAAGAAGAGAGGTCTGTGGGGCTTTAAACTAAGCCATCAGTGCTCACACCATTGGGTGGGCAATGGTGGACAAAGCAGGAAAATTTTACAGCTTTTCTACTCATAGTGCTGCTTCTGGGTGTGCCACATGAAATCAATGGAAATTAGGTAGTCTGTGTGGGACGATACTCTAGCAGAATAAAGTTTCGTTCCCTCTTTCAGTGGAAGGATTCATGAGAAAGCGGGGGGGGGGGGGGGGGGTTTTTTCGCAAA